TTTCTCTCTTCCTCCTCTTATTATTTTTCTTCTTTCTTTCTCTTCTTCCTCTTCCTTCTCTTCCTCCTCCTTCCCCCTGTCCTTCCCCTTCCCCTCCTCCACCTCCATCTTCACCTTCTGCTTCTCCTTCCAGGCGGATGGTCCCTCAATATGAAAGACTTGAAGCTGCTACAGACCATTGGGAAGGGAGAGTTTGGAGGTGAGTCACACCCAGAAGCTGTCCTCTCGGTTTCTCATGGTGAGACACTCAGTTTTGAAGGACCTCTTAACTTCTGGATAAGCGGTTTTTGGGGCCCCGAAGGAAAAATTTTTGGGAAGCACGGCCTTAAATTCTACCACCTGTGTTCTTCCTTGCCAAGAGAGATGAATGGAGAGGAGAGAAGGCCGCTTGGTTGCGCGTGAACTTGATCGACGTCCTTTGGTTTAAACTTTTCAAGCTAGGATGTGGTTGGGACAGATGCTTTTCCTACTCTGGAAAAAAAAGAGATCTTGAGTTGGTCTGTTTGTGACCCACTCGATCCCATCTCCTTCCTTCAGACGCCTGCTTTCTTTTGCAGATGTGATGCTGGGTGATTACCACGGAAACAAGGTGGCTGTGAAATGCATCAAAAATGACGCCACCGCACAAGCCTTCTTGGCCGAAGCTTCAGTGATGACGTGAGTCCCTGCGTCCTTAACTCCTCGATTTGGATTAACATCTGGTTGCCAAGAAAGATGGCGGAGAATGAAGCCGTGCCTGGAGATCAGGCTGCGTCGATCCAGCTTCTCCCGAAAGCTTTGGCTTTGAAAACAGTGGAGAATAGATTTACTTGGTCCCAAATTGTCATTCAGGAGACAAGCTCTAGAGTCCATAGAAGAGATGTTAGGACCGCTACCCAAAAAGGTCTTGCTTCTCCTAGATTCCCATATAAACTAAAACTGTGGAGCAGTGGTGGGATTCAGAATTTTTTACTATCGGTTCTGTGGCCATGGCTTGGTGGGCATGGCAGGGGAAAGATACTGTTCTGACCCAACCTGGTTCCGAGAGAGCCAACACCAGACAAAGGCAGCAGCCCCCACCTTTTAAAGTTTAATCCACAAATTCTGTTTCTTCACAGATAAAAGGCTACTTCCAACTAATTTTCTCCGACAGGAAAGAGCCTTGCCAAGTTGTTTGTCAAGGCTGCTAAAAACTCACAGATAAGGAATAGTTTACAAGAGTTTTTCAAATACTAACTATAATGTCCACGAGGCTGAGTTTCAGAACGTCTTTGCTTTCTGCAAAGAACGCTTCTTCAAACCTGGCTTTTATCCTCTTGAGGGAGGGGCCATTATCTTGCAGCCTTACTCCCGAGTCGCCTGTGCTGCTGTAACTGCTCTGTCCTGTGAGCAACCCTATGTGCGTGCACACTTGGCACAGGCTCCTCGGGAACCTCCTCATCGCTGCTGCCAGTCTCTGAAGGCAGCAGTCCACTCCCTAATGGTCCTGACCGCTCATCTGAGTCCTCCTCAGCTGTCCACACCTGCTTGCCAGCTAACCACAACAGATACTGTAAAATCTCCATTCCCTCCCCACCCCACTAGCCAGCTTTCCAGCTCCTTTCTCCTGTGCAGGGCAACAAAAGAACCTGCTTTCCAGCTCTGTTCTCTTGTGCAGGGCAACCAAAGAAGACCTAGCCAATCAGCTGGGATTCAATGGGAGGCGGAGAATAGATGGGGTTGGCGGGGCCAGTCAGAGGTGGGATTTGCCGGATCTCCAAACGACTCAAAATTTCTGCTACCGGTTCTCCAGAACTAGTCAGAACCTGCTACATATCCACCTCTGCCGTGGAGGTTTTGGGGAACTTCTCTTACACGCCAAGGGAAGTTAAGAGAAATAACCCTCCAAACATTTGGGACACGAACTCTTTAAGGCATATCAAACAAGGGGAAGGTGGGACTCCATAACTACGTTGTGCGAAAGTAGGGTCTTCCTTTGAGGCTGGTGGTAGGCGTGGTGTCCCTTGCATGAGGGCCTTCACTTATCATGGAAAACGCTGGTTGATGCCTCTTTGATCTTCTTTCCATTTGGTCCATCTTATTGCAGGCAGCTCCGGCATAGCAATTTGGTCCAGATGTTGGGGGTGATCGTGGAGGAGAAAGGGGGCCTCTACATTGTCACAGAATTTATGGCAAAGGTAAGACCTTGCTGTGCTTTCCAAGGACGGTTGGTCTGGAAGTTGGACGTTGATGAAGAACGTAGCAATGGGAGACTTACCTATGGAGAAGGAGGACGCCTCCTTAAATTTGGCTTCTGCTTTCTGATGATTTTTGATTGGTTCATTGATTATGGGTCATCAAGTCAATGTTGACTCTTAGTCAACAAGAAAGATTTTTCTCCAGGACTAAACTGGTCCATCAGGTCTTCAAATAGTGCTCTCATCACCATTCATCTTGCTACTGGTCATCCTCTTCTCTTTCCTTACATCGTTTCCAACATCTTGACTTTTCAAGTCTTTGTGTTGATTCACATTCAGCCTTTAAGGTCTTTGGAATCAAATTCTTTTAACCCCAGAAATGGAGAAGAAAGGCTGATTAGCATCCTTCTTCTTTTCATCTTCTCTGTTTCCCAGAATCGGAGGAGAAGTTGGAGTTACTTCAACTTCCCTTTCGCACATACCCTGTTGCAATCAACATTATTTCTACTAGAATTATTTCATTTCTGATAACACTTCCAAGCAACCCTTAGGGTTAACTATCTTCCTTCCTTCCTTCCTTCCTTCCTTCCTTCCTTCCTTCCTTCCTTCCTCCCTCCCTCCCTCCCTCCCTCCCTTCCTCCCTTCTA